CACTATGTTCCCTGCAGAGGGAGTTTCTCTCCCACACACAAAATAAAAATATGAACCATGAACCCAAACATAAGGCCTGTTCGAAGTGCAGTAATTAAAGGATATCAATTGCCTATGTATATATTAAACATTACACTCAGTATTTATTAGCCAAACTGTATATTTTGTCCAATGTAGGCTTCCTTGTGCTTGGTGAGTGTGTACCTTCTCTTCATAACGTGATACTTTATTTAAATGGTGTTGCTTTTTGATTAAAAACATCAAGATATGAACTTTAATGACATGTTTTGTGTCACAGTTTAATCGGGTGATACATGTTGCCAGGGAGGAAAGGTTAAAAATAAGTGAGTGACGATGGTCCAATTAGTGTGAGTCACGCCTGAGTAAGTCCATCTCCAAAAAGCAAGTGCAAATGAGTGCAGGTGTAATAAAAGGAAGTTGTGGATGGGTGAGTATTAAGGTGAGATGTCTTAGCATAACAAAAGGAAGCTGCACTTAATTAGCTCAGAAATGAGAAGCAATGTTTTATTGAAAAGAAAGAGGACAGTAATAATGAAACCATTTCTGGCGAATTGTATACACACGAGACACTGTGGCATTTCAACTTTAATTTGATTCTGAACTTGACATTCCTGCAAAGCCTTGTTTCATTGGAATATCTGGAAGCTCTCCACACCTTCTGCATCCTCCCACATGGGCTATGATTATGCAGCTCTTTCTACATTCTACACATTTCTACACTCCTGGAGCTATGTTTGACTTATATTGAAATATATGTATTTAAAAATAACCCTAATTGTCATAAGGAGTTGATATACATGGCAAGCCTCCAGAACACCTTTCAGTCTCTCTTTCCTTACTCCATTCGTGTTGGAGGTGTTTAAACAATGCAATTAAACCTGTTTTCAAGTTTTTCTGAGTTGAGGGATGCTTCCCAGTCTTGAACTCTTTTTTCTGATTAATCCTACGCCCTAATAGTACAACACAAATATACAATCTTTAAAAAAAAATCATCCCCTTCCCTATGAACAAATCAATGGGTTCTTCCTATCTCAATCAAGCCAGTAGTTGTCCTGTAATCTTGCTGACAAACAAACAAAATATAACCTCCTGTGCTGAGGTAATTATTCCAACCTTTCTACAGATATCTTTCCCTTCTGTATAACTTTTTGATCTTAGACAAATCCCACTGATGCACCTTCTCATTTTAAATTCTCCTTCATTTGTAAACATGATGCAACCTAAACAGCGAAGGCCTGATAATAATTAATATGTATAAACAAAGGGCATGTACTCACTTTGGCATGTATAATGCATGAGGTGAGATGCTTTGTTGAAAAATTGCTCCTCTGGCAAGAAAAATAGTTTTGTTCACTTGGTAGAAAAGTTTGAACGTTAAAGGGTTCCAGTTCTGCTTATTTTCTGGTTTATTCATTGTATTGAATGTCTCTACTGGGACATGTCTCCGTGCTTTCATTTTTAAATAAACATTCTCATACTGCCAGCACCTCTTTTCACCCTCTGTCTGAAACCAGAGCCGAGTCTGCTCTGATTGGTTAGCTGGCCGGCTCTGTTGTGATTGGTCAACTGCTTAGAGATCACGTACAATGACTGGAGCGCTAGCCAATAGAAGTGTGAGTGTTACGTAGTGATGTCACTCTGGAGGGAACTTTGGGATTTAAGCCTTTACAGATCATTGACATACACAACAACCTATAGAACACACTAGGGGTTTTCAAAGTGTGGGTAGGTGAGCCTCCCCTCAGAGAACATAAGAACAGCCGCGCCCCCCCTCCCAATTATTATTGCTGTTATTGTTATTATTATTATTGTTGCTATAATGCAGGGGTATTCAATTGCATTTCAAAGAGGTCCAGTAAGAGAAAATGTAATTAAATGCTCTGTTCTCGCTGTCTACCTTCCGCCATTTGAAATTACTCAGACTGTTTCTCTCCTCTTGTCTCGTCTGTGTTTGAATCTATCGTGCTGACTGCACCGATTTGATTGGCTGAGTAGCGTCACCTCCTTAAAACATTAAACAACTTTTTTTAAACCTTTTTATTTTTATGTTTTAAACATATTGTATAAAACTCCCCCAATACTTGGACTATTCCTTGCACCCCTCTAGAATAAGCCCGAATGGTCTCAACCATATTGCATCAATAACGTGCACTTGTTGTTATAACAAGATCGCTGGTAGCGATCGGGAAATTGAGTGTTGTTCAGTTTGTGTGTTGTGGAACATGCGTGTGCCGTGCATGAAAATATACCACACACCCAATTACAATTGCATGTTCAATTCACTACCCTGGAAGTTAATACAATTGTTAAAGTTGGAACAGCCTGTGGACAGCCGTTCTTCCTTGCATGTCAGTCGCCGACATCTTCTTACAGAGGACAGGCACATCTAGCTGCAGCACGACCCGTATATTTCCGCACGCCGTGTT